CGCGGGAACCCGCGGGCCTCGCGACTCACAGGGTCATCCGCATGCTCCACTTCACCTCGACGGCCTCCAGCTGGCCCCAGAAGAACCGGTCGTTGAACTGCACAAACAGGGCCTGCAAATCCGGGGTGGGGTCCACCAACTCCCAGGACGCGTCCACCAGGGACAGGGGCTCCTGGGCCGCGGCGCGCCCCGACACCTGCAAATTCCACTCCTCCTGAAGCCGCAGCGCCAAAACCAGGTCCTCATCCATCGCTGCCGGGGTCCCGGGCGAGGTCGGCCGGCGTCGTGCTCGCTCGCTCGCGCGCGAGGCCGCAGCTCCGCCCGGACGCTCTGCGAGCCGGGCCGCGCTCCCGGGAGATACCGGCTCTCGGGCTGCTCTCGGCTTGGCCCGCGGGTCTCGCGAGAACTCGGAAAACGGACTCGAGAACGAGAACGAAGCTGGACCCAAACCCCGAAGCCGAGGTTCTGGGGCTTAAAAAAAGAGAACTCAGCGTGACACCTCGTAGAGGGTTCAAAGCTTGAGTTCTCAAGGCTTAGACCGGAGGACGGTTTCGGGAGGCTACTAACCGTCTCACGATACGCCAGTAACGTCAAATGACGTCACTCTCGGCGCATGCGCAATACCCACGCCGCCCCGCCTCGCCCTCCACTGACTTCCGCAACAGCTCCTCCGGCGCAAGCGCTGTAGGCCGCTGGCGGTCGTGCGCAGGCGCACTACCCGCGCTCGGCCCGCTGCGCAGGCGCACCAGCGGACGCTCAGAGCCCGGCGCAGGCGTACTCGTCCCGCATCCTGTTTGCTCAGCCCGGCAGCTCCGCCCGCCTTGCGTGAGCCGGGACAGCGGCGGCCCCGGCGGCGGCGAGAGTGACAGTGACTGCGTGAGACCCGGACGGACGTGGCGATGGCGATGTCGGACAGTGGGGCGAGTCGCCTGCGGCGGCAGCTGGAGTCGGGGGGCTTCGACGCGCGGCTGTACGTGAAGCAGCTCTCGCAGCAGTCGGACGGGGACCGGGACCTCCAGGAGCACCGGCAGCGCATCCAGGCGCTGGCGGAGGAGACGGCGCAGAACCTGAAGCGCAACGTGTACCAGAACTACCGGCAGTTCATAGAGACGGCCCGCGAGATCTCCTACCTGGAGAGCGAGATGTACCAGCTCAGCCACCTGCTGACCGAGCAGAAGAGCAGCCTGGAGAGCATCCCGCTGACCCTGCTGCCGCCTGCCGCCGCCGCCGGCGCCGCCGCGGCCTCTGGAGGGGAGGACGGCGGGGGTGGCGCGGGCGGCCGAGACCACCTCCGGGGCCAGGCTGGCCTTTTCCCCGCCCCTGGGGGCGCCTCCCGCGACTCCGCGGGTCCGGGCGAGGAGGGGAAGCAGCGCACCCTCACCACCCTGCTGGAGAAGGTGGAAGGCTGCAGGCACCTGCTGGAGACGCCGGGACAGTACCTGGTGTACAACGGGGACCTGGTGGAGTACGAGGCGGACCACATGACCCAGCTGCAGCGGGTGCACGGCTTCCTCATGAACGACTGTTTGCTGGTGGCCACCTGGCTGCCCCAGCGGCGGGGGATGTATCGCTACAACGCCCTCTATTCCCTAGACGGCCTGGCTGTGGTCAACGTGAAGGACAACCCGCCCATGAAGGACATGTTCAAGCTGCTGATGTTCCCCGAGAGCCGTATTTTCCAGGCGGAAAATGCGAAAATCAAACGGGAGTGGTTGGAAGTGCTGGAAAAAACCAAGAGGGCCCTCGGCGAAAAAAGACGGAGGGAACAGGAGGAGGCAGCCGCCCCTCGGGGGCCGCCCCAAGTGACAGCCAAGGCCGGGAACCCGTTTGAGGACGACGAGGAAGACGAGCCGGCCGCTCCGGAGGCGGAAGAAGAGAAGGTGGACCTATCGATGGAATGGATCCAGGAGCTGCCCGAGGACCTGGACGTCTGCATTGCCCAGAGGGACTTCGAAGGGGCCGTCGACCTGCTGGATAAGTTGAACCACTACCTGGACGACAAGCCCAGCCCTCCTCCCGTAAAGGAACTGAGGGCCAGAGTGGACGAGCGCGTCCGACAGCTCACCAAGGTGCTGGTGTTTGAACTCTCCCCAGATCGGTCTCTGAGAGGTGGCCCCAAGGCCACTCGCAGGGCAGTGTCTCAGCTCATCCGGCTTGGCCAGTGCACAAAGGCCTGCGAGCTGTTTCTGAGGAACAGGGCGGCGGCTGTGCACACGGCCATCCGACAGCTCCGCATCGAAGGGTCCACTTTGCTCTACATTCACAAGCTGTGCCACGTCTTCTTCACCAGCCTCCTCGAGACCGCACGGGAGTTCGAGACGGATTTCGCGGGCACCGACAGTGGCTGCTACTCCGCCTTCGTGGCCTGGGCTCGGTCGGCCATGGGCGTGTTTGTGGGCGCTTTCAGCAAGCAGGTGTTTGATAGCAAGGAGAGCCTCTCCACGGCCGCCGAGTGTGTGAAGGTGGCGAAGGAGCACTGTCAGCAGCTGGGCGACATCGGGCTAGACCTCACCTTTGTCATCCACGCCCTCCTGGTGAAGGACATCCAGGTGGCCTTGCACAGTTACAAAGAAATCATCATCGAAGCCACGAAACACCGCAACTCGGAGGAGATGTGGCGGAGGATGAACCTGATGACCCCCGAGGCCCTGGGCAAACTCCAGGAGGAGATGCGGGCCTGTGGCGTGAGCGACTTCGAGCAGTACACGGGGGACGGCTGCTGGGTGAGCCTCAGCTACACGGTGGTGGCCTTCACCAAGCAGACCATGGGCTTCCTGGAGGAGGCGCTCAAGCTGTACTTCCCGGAGCTGCACGTGGTGCTCCTGGAGAGCCTGCTGGAGGTCATCCTGGTGGCCGTTCAGCACGTGGACTACAGCCTGCGCTGCGAGCAGGACCCCGAGAAGAAGGCGTTCATCAGGCAAAACGCGTCCTTTCTGTACGAAACGGTCCTCCCGGTGGTGGAGAAGAGGTTCGAGGAGGGCGTGGGGAAGCCCGCCCGCCAGCTGCAGGACCTGAGGAACGCGTCCCGACTCGTCCGCGTGAACCCCGAGAGCACGACGTCCGTGGTCTGACGTGGCCGCGTGTGCGGACAGGACCCGTCCCCGCGCGCGCGTGCCTCGCGGCGTAACCGTGGGACACGCCCTCTCGGAGACGCGCAATCGGAAGGAGAAAGGACAGGTGGCCAGTGGAGCCCAAATGACAAAAACACTGCGATTAGTAAAATAGATAACGCGCTTTCCTGTTAAATTATGCTGACTCTCTAACGGACATGTGGTCACGCTGTGGCGTCTCAGCTTCTCCTCTGGGTCAAAATGCACTTTCTCACGGTGTCTGTTACGAGGCAGAAATCGTCTCTGTGAACAGACAGAGTGTAAGTGTGTGGCGAAGTTTCCCCGTCCGCTGAAATGGGTCTCTTCCAGGGTACAGTGCCGTATAAAACACCCCGCCCCCCGTACGTCCTTCCTTAACCTGTGATTGAACGGTTTGGGGAAAAGAAAGGAGGGAGTGAGGAAATCGGTTTTAGGGTCAGTTTTGGTCAGAATTCCTCCCTGAAAGGAGGAACCGGCCTGTGGGCTCAAGTGCCGGACCCTAACCGACTCAAAGAGGGAGCTGTCAGCAGGCAGCTAGCTCAGCAGACGACTGGCCGAGGCCAGTGGCTGGTGATTTCCACCTGCTGATCAGCAGCGTTAGGATATTTGATTTGGGAGCAAGCGTTTACTGGAAAATCTCACAGACGATGATCAGTTTTTTTCCCAACGTATTCCTGACTTGTGGGCATTTCCAGCTGGAGCTTTTGTCTTCATCGGGCTGAGGAACGTAGCCGCAGCCGTGATTTAGAGCTGGCCCACCCCCTTCAGCGTAGAGGCTTGATGCAAATGAGAAAATTTTTCGTTGAGATGCTTGTTTAGATTTCACATCCCAGGCTGGGTGGGAAATTAGGAAAACGTCCTAAGCCAGCCCCCGGCGTTCTGAAGGACGCCTGCTCTGAGCGGAGATGTGTTTCTGTGCTTTCGTAACAGAGGAGAACAGAAAGGAGAGACAGTGTCCCAAAGCAGAGACCTTTGGTGACTCTTACGAAAAGAAAATGCTCCAGGCTGCATCTTTAATTTTTTAATTTTTCTTTGCTTTCTTTTTAAAAGTGCTCGCTTCACATTGTTTAGTAAAACAAAAATAACTAAAGAAATGTGAGCTTCCCAAGGTTTCCAAACTATTGCTCCTGTCGTAGACCGATTATATCACATTCCCCATAATTTGAGAGAAATTGTGCTAGCACATGTCCATTTTTCCCTGTTTTTTTTTTTTTTTAACGCCTACAGTAATTGTGCGAGCACACGTCCATTTTTCCGTGAGCTTTTTTTTTTTTTTTTTAATGCCTACAGTGCCTGGTCTTTCTAGGTGGTCTCCCATCCAAGTACTAACCAGGCCCGACCCTGCTTAGCTTCCGAGATCCGATAAGATCAGGATGGGAGTTCAAGTTCAGGGTGGCGTGGCTCTAGACATCTGAGCTGCTTTCTAGCTGGGTTCTTGTCCCTATGTGCCATCTCTGATGCCAGTTAATTCAAAAAGTTATTTCTTTTATCCGAATAAAAATAGTGGTATTAAGACTGTGGAAATTATGTAAAACCTAAAACAGCTTCCAGATAGTGGCTGAGGGTCTTGAAGCTCCTTAATTTCACTCATGCCAGATGAGCCCTTTTAATTTATTTTAGTTACGCCTGCTTAAAAGGTTGAAAATTATCAAAGTGACAGATTTTCTTTGACTAATTTTTTTTTTACATTGATAATAACTATACTGGATATCTCAGCTGAACAAAAAGTTATACTTTGTCTCTTTTCAGATCACTCGAATTTGATTTTAAAATTGTGATTATTTTGTGCCCCCCACAGTTTCTAAACTTATATTGTATGAAACACGTATTGTGCAGATACTTGATGCCGGGTCCATAAAATGATACTTCTGAAATCAAAACTTCTCCTAAGGCGTGACCTTGTAAAAAAATGTGAGTACTCAGTTATTTAAATGGTTGCTTTTTCGTAGCACTATCTGCTTTTTAAAACCAGCAGTACAGAATGTTTTTCTGTTAAAATTTGTGTGTTCCTTGATCGGAGCCGTAGCCGCAGGCAGTGTCCGTCTGGCAAAGCGGCTGGCGTGGGAGGTCGGTGGACGGCCGCCACCGTCAGGCTGTGCCTCTGTGCCACACAGAGCAGTCCCGTCGCCCTCCTCAGAGTGGGGCCGGTGCTTGTCTCTGAGATCTTGTTCCGTTAGACTCCAGAGCAGGTTCTAGAAACCGAACACGCTGGAGATTGTCCAGAACGTAGCACGTGCTAGACTAATGCACCGTGGAAGGGCGGGCCGCCTCTGCTGGCTGGCCTTGCCGTGACGCTGTCACTCGAGTTTGGAGTCACTGGCCTGGTCGAATTCATTACTGTGGAAAACACGCCCTGTGGAATTAAGTCTTTTTGATGAAAGCCGCATTTCACTTAAGTGCTGAAAACGTTCTTATTTTTGTTTCAAACGCTACCTGTAGTGAAATGATCGGCACTTGGATTTCGCAACTTGCTTACCTGAGGTTGGGGACTTGACATATAAAATGAAGTATAAAATCAGTCTTTGTACATTTTGCCTATTGATATGCTGTGATATGAGGGACTCTGAAATGTTTTATCAAAATAAAGCTTAAAATATTTCCTACACTGGATGAAGTTGATATTACCTGTTATACTATTCCTTAATCAGAATTTAATATTCTAAAATACAGTTTCAAGAGCCTAGGTTGTTTTCTGGTTTCGTTTTTCTATGTGAGATGATAGGTAGGAAGCTGTTAGTTAATTTAAATAAGTGTTCTACTTACAATCAGAATTGTGAATAAATCAGATCTCAATTTTTTAGGATTTCCTCGGATGGGAAATTTCAGATATACGAAACGTGAATTTAAAAAATAGATTTCATACCATCTGCACATCCCTAAATGAAGAAAATATAACGTAGGTGGTATGAGCTAGGAACTGGGATCCTAAATGACAGCTTTGTGTTTTTTTAAAGTTAATATGTAAATACCGAGAGAACCATCACGTAGAATAGATTTTAAAATACTTGTTGACTGCTAGGTCTCACGCTGACTAAGGTGTGGGGAGGACAAAATAAATTGAAGCATGCTTTCTCTTAAGATGCTTTAAAATTGGACAAAATAGAGATTAAAAATTAGAAAAAATAAATTCGAGAATAAAATGCAAAACAGCTAATTAATGAAATTGCATGCAAACTTGCAAAAAAAACAAAAAAATACCAATGTGTTATAATTTAAGTATTGTGAGAACCCGGTAGTGTTATTTTGAGGAGTTTGGAAAGTTGTCCCGGAATCATTGGCATTTGAGCTGGTCCTTGAAGGATGGACAAGATTTCGACGTGCAAAGAGGAGGGGTGACCTGAGCCTTTTGTTGTCGTCAGGCTGTCGTGATTACAGAAATCCTGAGAAGTTCCCTGTGCAAATGCCTTTGCTTACACGTGTGAACATATCTACGGGACACGTTTCTAGAAATTGCTCTGCCAAACTACATTTTAGATTTAAGTAAACGTCGAATTACTCATCGGGCGGTTGCACCATCTTAGCTCGTCCCCGAGAGCGTAGGAGAATGCCTGTTTTCTTGAGTGTTCATCCACATTTGTTCATTTTTTAATAATATGATTTATTCTTATTAGTAATAAGATTTATTCATTTTTACTAATCTGTGAAAAACTAGTAGTTTGTAATTTTTATGAGGTTGAGTATTTTTTTTAAGTACCTGTTTATGGCCTCTGCCATGCTTTTGTTAAATTATCTTTGTATTACGATTTTGTAGTTTATCGTATATTTGGGAAATTAATGCTTCATGTGTACTAAGTCTATAAGGGTTGTAGATTTTTCCTAGTTTGTCGTTATAATTTTTGTAGTACAGTAAGTTTTAGACTGTTACGAAGCCAAGATTTACCTAGGTTTCTTCTTTGTGACTTCTGTGTTTATCAGTCTTAGAAAGTTCTCACCGGCTATCAGATTCAAACGCATTAATCTTTTTTCCTAGTAATTTATTATATTTTGATATTTGCATCTTTGCTCCATCAGTAATTCATTTTAGAGTAGAAATGATACAAGAATCCCATTTTCCCACAAGTAATTAGCAAGCTGTTGCAACAAATTCGAATCGTCCTTTTCCCCCACTGACTTGAAATGCCATTTCAATAGTATGTTACATTTATACTAGACACGTACCTGGGCACATTTGTAGACTCTATATCCTATTTCAGTGGTATTTCTATTTCAATGCCATTATCAAGCTGTCGTAATTAACTGTCTTTATAATATAATTTGATAGGTAATAGGACTGGCCTCATACTTATGCCATTTCAGGTTTCCCTAACTATTCACAGGTATAGTAACTATTCAGGTTGCCGTGTGAATAATTTTAAGATGTCTTCTGCCATTTCCCAAGAGTTGACGTTCTGACCGAAACCGTGCTGCATCTGCGGGTTAATTTGGGGAGAACCAACAGCTCTATCATTTTGATCTTCCTCAGTTTACACAGCTGCTCCTTAGCACTTGCAGATTTTCTTCAGGCAGCTCTGGCGCTTGTCTTCGGAGTTTATTCCTAGGGGTTTTCGTGTGCTAATGCTGTCGTGAATGAAATCTTTACCTCCATCATGTTGTCTGTCTCTAGGGAATTGATTTTTAGTTACAGACACTCTAACCAGTGCCTTATTTAATTATTTTGTGGCTTTTAACAATTTTCTGGTTGTTTCTTTGGAGTTTTCGAGTATATAATCACATTGGCTGCAGATAAAAATCATTTTCTTTTTAGTTTTTATAATTTTATGAGGTTCTCTTACTAGTCTATATTAAGTTGAACCTCTAAAACTGTTAAATTATAGTTTTTGCTTGATATTAATATCAAGGAAGAAGAATGATACAAGACGTGTACCCAGTAGGAATGCTTTTCCCGTTTTTCCTTCGAAGCCTGATATTGGCTTTTGGTCATTCCATTAAGGAAACGGTCACCCATCCCTGCTAACCAAGGGTGGTTTTTACTTTTTTAGGTCAGGAATGCATGTTGAATTATCAAGCGAATCTCTGCATCTCTTGACCTCATCCTGGCTTTCCTCCTCTGTCACCGTAAGCTGGTAAGCTTTGCAAACAGTTCCCAATGCTGAACCACACTTACGCTGTATGAATTAATTCTGTTTGGTTGCAATATGTAACTCTTTCAACGTAATGCCTGATTCTGGTGAGAATGTCATTAGTTTCCGCGTTGGTGTTTGTCAGTGATGCTGGTGTGTGCGCGTGTGCGTGCACGCGTGTGCTTGTGCTCGTGTCACTCACTAGCTGAGCGGGCTGAGCGTGGGGATGATGACGGTGAGTCCTGAACCGTGGGAATGAGACATCACACAGTGTGACACACGTGACTTCCAGTCCTAGCTAGCTACTTTAGACAGGCTGAGAGGAGGGGCAGTGGTCTCACAGAGACAGGTCCCCCTGGTCCCCAAGCGCTTCTGACCTAACTAGCAGTGTGCGGGCCGCGCGCGGGGTGTGGTGAACACGTCCTGCGGATGCTGAGAGCGTGGGCGTGTTTCACTGCCACGCGCACGCAGCGTGTCTGCATGGTGCTCTTCCCTGTCCGCTCCCCTGGAGCGGAGTCGGCAGAGCAGACACGCGTGCGTGCTCGGTAGAGGGACACCGTAGAGCGTGCTGCTTTAACAACTAGTGGTGGTTCCCGCAGAGATGAACTGTGCACACCGGAAATGCCAGAATCGTAACTCTGGTTTTTTGGGAAATGGATCTGCTCATGTAACAACAGCCCCATAACCCACAGCACATTTTCGCCTCCGTGCGGTGGGGTTACTTCTCCCTCGTAGTTCTGTTCTAGTGCTTTCCCTTGCCTCAGCTTCTTTTTTGGAAAAAAAAAAAATCACGTGTTCATAAAGTGGTCCCAGGGCCAGACCCTCCTGCCTGCAGCCTGAAGGCCGGCCAGTCGTTCGGGGGGCTGTGTCAGAGGCGCTGGCCACATGCCGCAGGCATAGCGCCCCGGCCTCGTGGTGCCAGGCCGAGCTGGGCAGGCTGCCGAGGAACTTAGGGTGCGGCACGATGCCAGCCCTTCTCCAAAAGGTGGGACGGCGAAGACTGGGAGTCACTTAGCCACGTGGAGCTGTTTACATTTAAACTAATTATTCATCTAAAAATTCAGTTTCTCATCAGAGGACAAAGTCTCCAGTTGTCACGGAGGCGGGTCAGAGGCGGGCCTGGCTTTGAGGGACCTAACTGTTCCGTAAGTGGCTGTTATCCAAATCTCCTGGGGGAGGGGACGCGATTGCAAAGAAAGAGATGCCACAGATAGCTGAAGTGATGTGGCAGCCCGGAGGCAGTTAAGGGACAGCTGGGGTAGGGGGACAGGGCTGTCCCGCACAGCGGCAGGGCCTTGGCTGTGGGTTTTGCGGGGGCTCCAGGTCCCTCCCACGTCCGAGATGTGCACATGGGGGGGCTGGCGTGTCTGCACCGTCCCCATCCAAGGGCGTGTGTGACACATGCCCTTCCGGTGGCTTCAGCAGCCACACCCTCAGTGTCAGTGGCTGCACTTTCAGAGGTCAGTGCAGAGGTCACAGAGGTCAATACCAAAACGGACTTGGAAAATGGCAGTGAAACGGGCGGGGCTTTGTTCTTCCAAACACGTTTCCAAAAGACTGTTTTATTTAAACACTCACAGAGTTGGCTACAAACGCCTTCTTAGTCACTGTGGCGGGGACAGTCACACTGACTGCTTCAACTGGCCGTCTCGTCCTCTCTCCTGAGCCTGCTGCCACAAAGTCTTGGGGAGCTTGGGCAGAAAGATGGGTCTGTTCCTCCGCGTCCCCGTCTGCTGAAACGGTGTCCTTGGCCGACCGCGGTCCCGTGGCCACAGTCCCCACAACTGTCCGCAGTCGTTAAAGTTTGGCAGGGGCTGCTCTCCTGACTGCTGTTTTACCACCTGAGGTGACAGAGAGAGAGCACACGACACGTCACCGAGTGTGCCCTTGTCCAAGCACTGTGAAGCCACTGGGAGGAGACACAGCGAACGCCCATGCAGACGTACAGGCTGACGAAGCACCAGTGGAGACACGGGCCCCTTCGCGGGAGCAGCACCTCGCACGGCCAGCGCCCCCGGCCAGGGGCCGAGGCGGGACTGAAGCCAGTCACGGCTTCCGGGCTCCAGGTCTGCTGTGTGCGTGTTCACACCACGCCGTTTGCTTCCCGTGATGAAATCAGTGCCTCCGCCCTCCCAGGACGGGGGGAGACCCACTCGGTGACCCAGCACTGCGCTCAGGGCTGCCACCTCCCCGCCCTGCCCCGAACTGCGCTGTCGTCCCAGTGCAAAGTGTTCCCGGCCGCTGTGGCCCCTGGCGTGTCCCCAGGCATCTGGGTGCAGGTTGGCAACCGAGGCTCTGACCGGGCCCCAGCAACAGCGCCCGCCTCCTCGGGCGGGGCCACCTCTAAGCTGAGACGGTCTGCAGGACGGGAGGGTTGGCTGTGCTACCAGATGTGACGTGGACACTGACCGACCCCCTCCCCTGGGAGACAGTGACCCCAAGGACAACACGGGAGGCCTGTGCTTGACGCCCACAAGGCCAGGTGGGGTCCATTCCGGTGGGGCTGGTCACCTTTGTCGTGACACTGCCCACTGAACGCTGGTGGCGCCTGTCCGCTGATTCTTGCACTTTCTCCTAGTTCCCCTGGGGAAACCCTAGTGACACAATAGTCCCGTGTACAGTAAGGCTCTGCCGTTGCCCCTTTCGCTAGCACACCTGCTGTCCTGCCGCGCGCTGGCGAACGCCCCGCGGACCGCAGACCGCGGCCCTGGACTGAACTGCACTTACCGAGCGTTTCTTCCAGTTTACTCGTGGCCGGTTCGTTCACATTGAACAGAAACTCGTTATCTCTAGGAGAAGAAGCGACAAGCTGGCTGAGCGCGAAGCCGCGGAGAGCGACTCTCGGCATCCGGGACTATGGCTGCTCTCCCACGGGGCCTCACGGCCCTCGCCCCGCCTGTCCGGCGCGCTGGCTTGGCCCCATCCCTCTGGCCACGCGGGAGGCCCACGCTCTCACGCTCGTTCACTCAGAAGAGTGAACACTGAGCTGCCTACACACACGCGTGTCTTCGTGCATTATGACGCAGGAGCACATAAGTGCGCGTGCACGCACACACTGCACTCCCCCAAAATCTTTCTTATAATCTATACATTTCCAACCTTAAGCCAAAGCCAAAGTGCAGGCCCGAAGCACGTTCTTTGCTCCGATGTTGCTGTAATTCAGTCACGTAAAATCTGCGGGGTCCCCCCTGGTGACTTAACTTCCCAGGAGGGGGGTGGGGCACGCGCAGGGTAACGCAGACTGGACCACGCGTCCCGCCACGCCCGGGGGGCCGGCCGCTACTTACACCTTCCTCTTCTCCACCATACCGAGCCGCACCATGGCCGCGAGGGCGTTCTTCTGCACGTCGGAAGACAACACGTCATAACACTGCGAGGTGCCTACAGCAGGTGGAGAGACAGTCAGCGGACTACTTTTTGTCCTAAACCAAAGGACATCACCGCCCTCAGAGGCGTGACTGACCTTGATCAAGAAGCTGGCTTGTGAATGTTCTAACTCTGGCCAGGTACTGCTTCTCAGTGAAGTAGTCTTCCCGTTCCTTCAAGAGGTATTGGCAGATTATCTGAGTTGACGAGGGAGGAGGAGAGGAACAGGAGGAGAAGAGGGACAGTGAGAAACAACAGGACAGCAAACAGGTGTCATCACCCATCTCAAGTGAAGCGCACGTCGCATCAGAGCAAAGCCCTGCAGAGACCAGGTGCAGAAAAGCTGCAAAATTTCAGGAACTTTCTCTTGGGCTCATATCACTCTTTACAACTAGAAAAAAGAGTCTGAAATAGTATTGACATTTATTACAATGTAATAAATGGGTCTCACTTGAATGGGTCCTAAGTTAATTACTCTCAGCCTAATACACCTCGTGTTGCCTGGGAAGAGAGGCACCAGATTGTTAACTTTATTTCTTCCCTAAAAACACCTAACAACATGCGAGACCTAAGAACATTTGATGGTTTCTACCTAGACAAGTAGAAACAGAACTTATGCAACACCTACTAAGCGTCAGACGTGGGGCGAGGGAGCCGGCGTGAGCTACGTCATCAGCCGCAGCTCTGCTTGGCCAGGAAGTCAGTCCTGGGTGCCCCCGCCCAGCGCACAGGGCGGACGGCCAGAAAGTCCCCCTCTCGCAAAGCTGCATGGGGCCCCGACGCTCCCCCCTCAACCCCTGCTCCCCTGCGCGCTGGCACACTTCCTGCGGGACGTACGTGCCGTCCCTGCCTTTAACGGCTCCTCAGAGAAGCCCTTCCACGGGCCTGCACTTGAACTTTCCTTTCTCTAGCAACATTAGCATTTACTAAGCGCCAATTATATAGTAACATAATAACAGGTTATGAATCGGTCAAACGTTGCATTTACGAAGTGCCTACTATGTATCAAATGCTCTGCTACATACAGGAAACAAAAGATGTCAGATACGGTGGGACATGCTCGGTTTGTAACTGGTGATAGGAATGTTATGCTCACTGCGTCCCTGAGCTATCATCCTCCTGGGCTGTAGGGGACCTAGCCCCTGCTGCACGCAGAAGGCAGGTGTCCCCTGAGAGGTGAGGTCCCTCCCCCTGGCGGTCTCCAGCTCCATCAGGCTGAAGCAAGTTCAGGGCGGCGCGTGCCTCACCCGGAGCCGGGAACGCGGGCGAGGTCACGTACCTGGTAACACTCCACGAAGGGTTCAAAGAGGCCTCTTAAAAATTCTAACACGGTGTCTCCTTTCTCGGTGACGAGGATGTTCCCCGCCGCCACGTAAATGGTTTCAGTTTTACAAAGCAGGTAACAGCCTTCTTCAAAGTCCTGGAAGGGGGCGGAGGAGACAATGCACCCACTACACGAGGTTGACTGGGACGCTGCTGCCCGCGGCACCAGAATGCCAGCCAGTTCCATGCCCCGCCCCCAGACGGCGGGTTGACAGACAGCGGCCAGAGCCGCCCTTGTGCCAGCACTCAGTGTGCTGGGCCCCAAACACAGCAATACACACAAGACCGACGAGCCTGGGGACTCAGCCTGTGTGGCGCATTTTCTTTTGCCCTGCACAGCCACACTCCCTAAATCTGAACAGGCGGTGCGCGCGGCGCGGCCTGACGGGCTCAGAAACGTGCTCACGCTCCCCACGGCAGCAGCCTGGCCTCTCTGCTGTCTGTGCGGCCCTCCCTGCCCGGCTGTGAGCCCGACCCGCATCGGCGTCTATGCCACGGGCAAGACGCGCCCTCCAACTCCAAAGCAAAAGGCCCGGCTCATTCCAGCAAGTGGCAAGCGGGCGCACGTGTGCTGGTTGGTGCGTCTGTAACAAAACAGCGGCTGCACGAAAGGTCCAAAAAACCACCGCCTCCCCGCCCCCCACCAAGTACTCCTCAGTCACTGGTCAACTTTGACCAAGAACCAAACTAGTCTGAACTGTGAGTGTCCCAGCGTCGCCCCCACCGCTGCACGCGGAGCCACCCAACAGCCCAGACCCGCCCGCGCTCGCTCGCCCCCCGGCTGCGTTACCTTTACTGTGTTTCCTGGAAAGAAGATGAACTCATCTGAAAACATGTCGCGGAGGAAGCGAAAGCAGCTGTAGATTTCCTCTGGAAACAAATTCACCACATGTCAGTTGGGTTGTGCCATCGAGTCTGCGACAGTGCAGAGTAGCACGTCACAGGCGCGTACGCTATTCACACATCGGGGACCAGAATCAAGGCCCCTCGTGGAAGCTGTGACACGCCCAAAGTTTACCTACAGAGCAAATTACAGTCTAGACGTTTGAATGGTTGAATCTAAATGACAAGCAAGCCTGTCATCAGTCAGTCTGGAACAAACAAGATGCCGTGCGCCTCAGAAGCCAAGGCCTTCACGTCCCATCACCAGGGTCCCCAGCAGAGGACAGGGGCAGGCTTCTTCACGCCCTCCTGCGTCCCTCTGTCCTGCTGTCCTGCACACCAGACCACACCAGCACACGGTGACAGCCCTTGATCTGCGGACACCGACCTTGCCCGCCTCACCTTCCTGACCTGCACTGCGAACTCTGTCATTAGGAACGACCCATACAGGTGGACGAGAAGGTGGCCTGCATTTCGGGGCGTCTGGCAACCCTCGAAGACCACGTGTGTGCCCCTAGCTGGAGATGGCTTCTGACGTAAGAAGCCTCGGATTGAAGTGAAATCGAGGTCTGTGTCTCCATGTCCTGAGCTAAGTCATCTGAGCTCTCTGGGCCACCTGTCACTCACAAAGCGAGGGGCCAGGCAGGGGACCTCTGAGGTCCCTCCGGGGCTACGGGTCTGTGGCCGAGCCCTATGCCTCTCCACAGACTTTCCCTTAGAATGCCTGCAGAGCTTTGAAAACCAAAACCAGAATGCCAACGCCCGCCCATGCCCAGACCACACAGCGCCTCCGGGCGTGGGGCCGGCCTCCAGGAAGCCGTGGCCGGGGCTGCAGGCCCTGTGAACACACACTGGGTCTTACTCACACTCCCGTGAGGAGTGCAAAATGCTGCTTGCTGTGTCTGGGACGCCCTCCCACCCACGCTGTCCGCTCCCATCAGCTGAGGGACCTGTCACGGCAGAGAAGGGGCCTCAGCCCGGGAGGCAGAACCAGCCTGTGCCAGGGTCCGCCCCAGGCAGCCATGCATCGTTCTAGGCCCAACTCTCCTTATAAAAGCAGTGGTTTAGATTACATGGCTTCTTAGGTCCCTTTCAAGTCTCAAATTCTAAGCAGATGGCCATGTCTTTGGGGGGAAATCCTAAGTTCTGAACGCCCGGGCCCACCCCGCCGGCAGGGGGCTGCGGGCGTGTGCTGCCCTGGGTGGCTTCTGGGTCACTACTGCTCCCCCCGCCCCCCACCCGGACGGTGGCCTCTTCAAAGCTGAAGAGCACGTTCCCCGCGGTTACCTTTCCTGGCCCCGGGTGTCATCTGCAGAGCCAAAGCGACGAGCGAGGGGCGGACGAACACGTTGAGCAGCTGGTTCCGGTACGCCGAGCACATGAGCAGAGTGACGTGCTGCAGGAGCAGGCCGTCCACCACGTCCGAGTCTGCGGAGGCCACCCTCAGGACCACGCGGTCGTTGGCCAGGCTGGCGATGTTGGAGTGCAGAAGGATGCTGGCCTGGATCACGTCCTCCGCCGGCTCGTTCTCTACGCACGAGACGGGCCATTCAGGCAAACGGCCGTGCAGCGGGACGCGCCCTGCCGGAGGCCCAGGCCCAGCGCCCGCCCACACCGGCGCCCACCTGCCCGGGCACGGGCCCCGTACGGGCTCCAGGCTCCGCCCGCTGGGCTCACGACCGCGCACGAGGGCCGTTTCTCGAGAACTCTTCCAAAAACCACTCTAAGGACACGTAACGCTGTCTTAGCCACTTTGCAACCAGCGCTTCTTCAGGAAGCGAGGTGCCAAAGTCTCGTGGGAGCAAGTCACTAGGTCGCGTATCTGTGAACTTAGCGTGTGCCGTTAAGACGTGCCCCACGAGCGCACACATGCACCCCTCGCGCAGGCCCGCTCTGAGACGACGACTGTCGCTTTGCAACTCTGCAGGTGAAGCAAAGGGCGCCCAGACGGGGTGGGACGCCGAGGAGGCCGCCCACGTCCTCACACCACTGGCTCTAAGGGGGTGTGCCCAGAACAGGGCTTGGGCGCTCGTCAGCGACACCGCCGCGGCCTGGGATGCCCCGGCAGCCAGCAGCAGAGGCGTCGTGGCGGGGTGGCAACAGTCAGCAGACATTCTCGGTGACGAAGCTCATTCGACTGCAAACATGAGCCAAAGCCTAAGCCTGCTGACAGGCGGGCCAGCGGGCACTCGGACCACGAGGCCAGCAGCAGCCCCGCAAGGCCGGTGCCAGGGGGTGGGGCTCTCCCTTCGGACCCCAGAGCATCCATTCTGCTCTAATTTGCCCTGCCTGAGCTTGCTCAAGGGAATGACACAGTGCGTGACAATAGCACGTACATGTTGCGATACGTGCTACGCGCGTGATACACGATGCTCTGTCGTGACATACGTCACGGAGAACTGGCCACGAGAGCTCAGGAGTAGGGGCTAGTCGAGGGAAAAAGGAAAGAGTATACAGAGCACCCTTTTTTTAAATATATTTTTTTTCTTTTCCCGAACCCTAACCCTGAAGAGCACCTTCTAAATTAGGACCGATCTCAAATCACCCCATGTTACTCTGCGCAGATACTCACTGGCTCACGTTACAGTGACGAGGCATTTTCGTGGCCGAGCAGATACCCTTAGCTATGGACTGGCCCCATGTTTACCCCACCTTGAGAAAACGAAATCTTAGAAAGAGGCGCCTGTTTTCATACGTTCCTGGGCCAAACAGGTAGAGGAGCTTATTTAGCAGACTGCCCTCTCTCGTGGCTTTCCACCTTGTGTGGCAATTGACTTGTCGTCTGTCTCTTGTTGGACCCCTGCAGTACTGAGAGCACGTGTCTGACCATCCTTGCCTCCCCGAACACTGCCGTCAGGACCCTCGTGGGCATTCTCGGCCCCTCCGCAGCTCTTCGGCTCGGCCCCACTGGAGTGTTTCCCCGCGTTCGCGTGCGACCTGCTCGCCCGCCCTCCTCACACCCGGGGGACCTTTGGACCGGGCTGCGCCTGGCTCATCTCTGCCCCCTGGCGGTACCAGCCCCGAGCAGCCGCTCACGACAGGTAAACGAGCCAACACGGGAACCCGACTGTAAATCGTCCCCTGGTCTCCAAAGGACCACAGTGGCCACTGCAGTCTACAGTTTCACATCAGAGACTGCCAGCGCGTAAGCTCACGCACACCCCCACACCCAGCAGTGTTCGTGACTCCGATGAGGCTTTTACAAGCTGTCACCGGAGAAACGTCTTACGAGGCCACCAGCCCTCGATCCTCGCGACGCGGCCAACGCCACGTGGCTTAAGAAGCGGAGGTGCAGGGGGCCATGTGGAGCGCGGAGTGTCTGTTCTCCACTCGGCCGGGTCCCAAGCCCTCTTGGGACCTAGGACAAGGACGTGGAAACCATTCTTCTCAAATCAACAACATGCTGAGTTCAGTGTCCCACAGTGATAAAAATAATGAGGTTTCTCTCTCTCCCCGAGCTTTGCTCAAAGTCCTATGTAGGTTTTTCATGCCCAGGCTATACCTTTTCCAAATTAAGAAGTGGAAAAGGCCAGCGCTCTCCTGACAGGTGTCCCCCGCACACACCTGGCCACGCGAGGAATCCCCCGAAGGCCTGGGCCAAGCCTCGCAGCCACACGGTCTTCTCCACCAGAGCGTCCAAGTGCAGGGACGGCTGGTTCTGGAGCAGGACGGTGACGACCAGGGTCCACGGGCTCAGCACCAGGTTCTGAATCTGCAGGAGCTGCATCCGGTAGGCGACTTCGGTGACGAAGGCGTGCATGTCCTCCGACTGCTTCTGAGGGATGTATCTAAAAGGAAGGACAGAACGGGTCACGGTTCGGTGACCGAGACACGCAAGGGAACGGGACACGGGACGTGGCAGACCCGCCGGAGGCTTCTCGCACTTTCTGCCGAGGGCTCCCAGGCCCCGCGGAAGGCCCTCCTTCGCTTGCTCTGCCCGTCTGCAGGGCCGGCTCTTGCGAGGTGACAGAACTACTCAAGGGAACAGGGTCCTATTATCCCCGGTTCTGGGCAAAAAGCTTATGTCGCTTTACAAACAGAAAGCGACCCCACTCTGAGGGCTGGTCACACTGCCGCCCTCTCCAGACCCGCAGCACCTCGGACGTGGCTTGCAGGACGCGTGCGTTGGGTTACAGAACCACCGTCCACGTCTGCGCAGGGCAGGCAGCTGCCCACCTGCCCGCCCCGCCGTCCTTCCGAGCGGCGTCAGGGCCCTGCCAGGCACTCTCGCCTGAGGGACTCTTCAAGCAGGGGTCAGATGACCGGAACCCGCACGGAGCTGGCTGGGCAGGGTACACACCTGACCTAGAAGCAAGCCACGCAGTCCGCCGCAGCCAGTGACGGCGCCTGGACTACGGGACACGGGCCGACCCGACTAGAGAGCTACAGGGAGAAAGCCTGAGGCAGCGAAAAGCCGGCACCTGCTCCTGACGGCTGACACAGCTGCTGGCGAGGCTGGTGCTGCAGCCGCGTGGCTGGCCGGCGGGTGGCTTCCACCCCGCTTGGCCCTTGGGGCCCTGACCGTGCGTGTAGCACGCCCGCACCCTGCAGGGACCGATGCATTTCCTGGCCCAGGACCACAGCCTTTCGAGGACGGGGACTCAGCCACATCCGTCCCTGGTCCGCCACCCTTCCTAGGATCAGACGACGTTCCGTGCGCCGCTGTGCCCACATGCGCTCGTCGGTGACGCTCCTCCCCCCACTTCTGTGTCGGCCAGACGCCAGGTCCCCTGAGAAGAGCGCACCCTGGCTCTGCGCGTTTGACACAGGTACCCCGCGGCTCCCTGTTTGGGGAACCATGTGATTCTTCTTTCACGGAGGCTTTCTGACCCCCGACATGTCATCTCCAGTGACCCAGATCCAGTCCCAGAAGTGCCAAGAGTCACGGTTCACACTTCCAGATTTCCACCCCTGAGTCAGTATCGGTTACGAAAACACCGGCCTTGCACCTGGGAACCAAGTTGTAGGGGCTCCGGCTCATCCTCCCCGCCGCCAGAGATCGGAGCGACACGGGCTCTCCGAAGTACACGTAGATGTTGCCAAAGTTCTCCGAGAGGATGCGCCTGGCCTTCAGCAGCCCCTGCCAGGGTCACGACAGGGGAAGAGAACACGGGGGTCAAGTCAGCAGCCGCTGGCGTGCAAAGCAGCGTTTCCTCTGCTTTTCAATGAAACCAGGCCCGGCCACCGCGTACGTACTGTTGTAGATTCCCTCGGCTTAGGGACCCCTAGAAGCTCATACGCGTAGAGAGTTTCTTCCAATATCTTATCGTAACTGATGCTAATGGGAACGAGGTAAGTATCAAAAACTTCTCTTTTGAAAAATGGTTCCATCACGATGTTCAGCAGACCTGTAAACACAGGGAGAAATGGTCTCCGTGAATACTGCAGAGTGGAGAACTCAAGGGCCTATCGACAGGGAGGCACGAAAAGTGAAGCCTGTACACTAAGCGCAGAGACGTAAGCAGTGGAACTTAGGGACAGTCACACTTATGAAGAATCTCTCGCCAAAAAAAGCGTCAAGGTGTACTTAGCAGCTTCGATGACGCCCCACCTAAACTTTGGGATTTACTTTTCCTCCAGTCTATAAGCGACCTACCAAATTTAGGAG